CTAATTTTTGAGGGGGAAAAGTGAAATATTTTTTTGCCACATTTGTAAGGGACAATAATAATAGGGCAATCTGAAACTTAAAACATAGTTGAAGTTGTAATGTGAGTAAATTGATAATTGAGGGGATAATGTAAACAAAAATTAAAAGTACAATGTGAAAAATATGATATTAATAGAACGATATGAAAAAGATTGACAGCTTAATGTGAAAGTATCGAATGAATTGAACTTGAGAGTACATAGCTACGAAGAAAATGAAGGACTTAAGGGTGATAATTTCTTAGTTTGAACAAAAATATTCCTCGAAATTGATACGAAGTCAGTGAGAGAGGGTTGGTCATTTCTCAACATGAACTTAAAAATAAAATGACTTACTAATACAAATAATAAATAGGTCAGAGTTATTTTAGATAAATGATCAACTAGTCTAGACCCAATTTAATTAAATAAAATATTTATTTTTCTTCCACTTCACTCTTTATTGTTTATTTCTTCCTAATAGGAAGGATTCATTTGTGCATTATGGTAGGTTCGGGAGGAAGGGAACTTTGCATCAAGGAGTGTGATGCAACATTGGGGAGAAAGAATGTAAGGCGGAATGCTCCAGCAGGGGCTTTCCATGCGCCGGCTGCTCCAAATCTTCGATCCACTTATGTTGTTGTCGTTGAGTTCTGAGAAGAAGTTATTTAGATTTAATTTATTGACATAATTTATTGATTTAATTATTTATAATCGTTGAATTAATAGAAAATCTCAATATTTATTGAGACTCGCAAATCAATCCAATGATTGTGATGAATCAAGTCGACGTATTATGTCAAAAAAATAAATCTAAGTGGTATTATTGTTTTAATAATATGAGTAACTGTATTTCAATCTTTTCTTTTATCTTGTAATAAATTCAGTTGCCTCTCTTAAATTATATTTTACTTTCGGGTAAATATTGTAATTAGTCTCTAAACTTTGCCTTCTATTTTAACTTGGTCCTTAAATTTTTAATTGTCCCAATTTAATCCCTTGACTATTAATTTCGTCTCAATTGAGGTCATTCCATATATTTTCACTGTTAGATTTATCGGAGAGTAGTCCAATTTGATCTGATGGTAGAAATAAAACAAAATTGATAATTAAAAGGTTAAATTGGATTATCACACTATATTAATGGTTTGGATTATCATCTTTTCTTTTTACCTTTTACCCATATAAAGGTTAGTCATTAATTTATATTGACCACTTTAAAAGTTAGAAAATTGACACAAAATAATATCGTGCGCATTTTACACTGAAAAATGTTATATTTCATATGATAAAAAAGTGAAAGAATGAAAAAGTGGAAAGATGAATAAAATATTATATTTAGCAATGATGGAAAAGTAAACATATATTACGTTGATATATTCCATAATATATATATATTAAATTCAGTTGTGGATAAAATGATAAAATATACACATGTATTTTTTTATTTCTTTCGGTTTTTCATTCATTCCAAACATAAAAAAAGAGTTTTTAGTACTTTATATCCTGAAAATTTTCAAAATTTTTATTTTATACCTTCAAAGATTAATTTTTTCACAATGCACTCTTAATGTATCAAAAGTATTGTAATGTGGTTATTTTACTAACTTATATTATTTTTCCTGTCAAAAATCAACTCATTGACACTGACGAAAAAATTAGCAGAATGCTAATAGAGGGGTTAAATTATAACACTTTTGGTACATTGAATACGCAATGTGAGAAATTTAATTTTTAAGAGTATAAAATGAGAATTTTAAAATTTTTTATGGTGCAAAGTACGAAAACCTTTATATATATATATGGCATGAATGAAAAATTGAAAGAAATGAAAAAATACACGTGCATGTTTGGCATGACATAACTGTGATTCTTTTGGAGCTCAACCAACCAAAAAAGAAAGGAAAAATAATATTTTGTACCCCTAAAGATCATTATACTTTTAATTTATATTATAAAAGAATTAGTTATTCCCCGTGTTTAAAGGCACGGAATAATAAAAAAAATAGTCAACATATTTTTATTCACACCTAAAATCAAATCACAAGAAGAAAGATAAAGAAATTTAAATACCGATTTGTAGTGGGAGTGAACAGTGGTAGTGATGGTAGGTGATAGTGGTGATGGTAGGAGACAGTGATGATTTTGGTGGATAAGACGACGACCGAGGTAATGATAACAATCGTGGGGTGGCAATTGTGATTATAGTATTGAGTTTTGACTAACGATTATGATAGTGACAACCGTGGGTGATAACGATGGTAATAGTGGATATGGGTGGTGGTGGATGACAATGATGGTGGTGTTGGGGATGACGATAGTGGTGGTGGGTTGTGATGATGGTGGTGGTGAGTGACGATAGATGCTTCTAGGTGACAGTGTTATTGATGGTGGCGAATGACGACAATAGTAAGTACGATGGGAATATGTGATAGTGGGTGGTTGTAGTAGTGAACGATGATAGATGATGGTGGTTGGTGGTGGTAGGGTGTGGTGGGGTAGGTGACGGTGGGGCGTGGTGATGGTGGGGGACGATGAGTGCTGACGGTGGGTGATAGCGGTAGTGGAATGATGATGGTAATGGTAATAAGTATAAAAATAAGATGACGATGATGATGAGTGATGATCATGGACGATGATGGTAGCAATCGGTGGTGGGTGACGATGGTGGTGGAGGTGGGGCAGTGGCGGTGGCGATGGTGGGTTAGTGAAAGGTGGTGGTAATTGTGATGGTCATGGGGGTGGGGGTGGGGGTGGGGGTGGGGGTGGGATAGTAGCGGTGGTGGTAAGGTGCGACAACGATGGTGATGATGGTATAGTGCGACAACGGTGGTAGTGGTGGGGCGGTGGAAATGGTGGTAGTGGTGGGACAGTGGTTGTAGTGGTAGTGATGATGGTGGGATGGTGGTGGTAGTGAGAGGCGGTGTTGGTAATGGTTATGGTGGTGGTGAGGTAATGGAAGTGGTGATGGTGGTGGTAGCGACGGTGGTGCGGTGGTGGGTATGGTAGGATAGCGATAGTGATAGTGGTGACGACGATAGTGATGTGGGTGTGGGTGGGGGTGGGGGTGGGGGTGGTGTCAGTGGTGGTGGTGGTGGAGCAATAGGGGTGGCGGTGGTAGAGGTAGTGGTGGGGTGGTTTCAAACATTAATTTTTTTTTTTAAATACTTATAAAAAATAATTTCTAGAAATATTTTTAAAAATCACTTCAAACACACATTTAAGGGCTTATTTTTTGTATTAAATTTGAAATGTTAATATTAGCTGTTAGATTAACTTTAAAGTAAAATTTAAAATGATCTCAACTGCAAAAAAAAAAAAATTATTTTATTTATCTTTTGATATTTAAATTATATTGTATTTTATTATATAGATAAAATTCTCACAAAGTACTTGCAATCATATAAAAAGGTAGCATACAGTATGATTTTATCATTTTATAAAGCAGAGTAAAAAAAATCTAGTGTTAAATACTTAAAACTAAGGTAATATACAAATAACTAAGTATAGAAAATAATAATAATAATAAAAACAGAGATCAAAATTTTAATCTTTTATGATATAAATTGGACATTAAAGAAAATTCCAGGTATAAAATGTAATTGACCTAAAAAGGCAAAACAAAAAGAAGTATTTTTTTTGGGGGTAAATTAAAATTCATACCCTTAAAATATGTATTTGATTTCTATTTTGTCATTAAAGTTTTAATTATAATAATCAAATACTTCAAAATTTGATTAAATTTTGATTTTGTCCTTACATCCAAATCTCTACTTTATTACGAATAAATGATCTTTCATAACTAACATGTGACTTGGATAACATGGTGGTAAACCAAAAATACAAAATAAAAAAGTAACAATTTTAGGTAAACTGTGAGATAGATTCAGAGATACAAGTGTATCTAAGAGAGAATTTTTTATTGAACAAATATATTTTTATGGACAAGTCCTATGAGGTATTTTTGTTATAATAAATTAATAAATTTGGAAAAAAATGACTAAATTAAAATTCAACTAAACTTTTAAGGATGTAATTGTTGCAATAAAAATTTTGGGACCAAATAAAAAATAAGTGTATATTTTATAAATTAATCATAAATTACTTTTTTTTTCAAAGTAAGAATTATTAAAAACTACAAATTTCGCCCCTAATTTATCAATAAGTTTAGACATATACTTTTTAAGGCATAAGGTCCAGTTCACCTCAATTTTTTTGTCATGTAATCCAAACTAGTTTTTTTTTTATATGAGAATATTACCCCAGTGTCTTGCGCTTTGTCCAACCGAAATCGAACGAGAGCCATTATTTTTTTCTCACAGGTAAATGCAACTCTTCTTCAATAGAAATCCACCATCACTCAACGCCACCACTATCACCACCGACAATGAACTACACGACAGTGAACTCAATGACATTAAATTAAAAGTAGTAGATTGAAGAATGCAGCTCTTCTTCCGTTCATAATATATAACGAAACATGTATCATATAAAGAGAGAGAATGATAGCTTTTAGTTCACTATTTAAGTTTGTTGTCTTTAGTTCACAAATCGAAATAATAAGATTATTTAAAATTCATCAATTTAAATAAAAATCTTTTAAAAATTTTATAAAACATAATCAAATCTCATCTAAATTCCAGTTATCGAACAATCGATTCCAATAAAAAAAAGTATGAGAGTGGTTTTAGTTCTGTGTCATTAAATTTACTTCACTGACTTTGGTTTAATGGCAGTGATAGACCTAATGTGGGTGACCAACTCTAACCTCTCGTCCGTATTAAGAGTGCACCATTCGACAAATCTCCTTTCTTTTAAAAGGTCAAAAAGAGGTAGTTGGAGCACAACTGCGGACATACCAAGAAACTCTCGCTTGCTAGAGAGGAGAGGAGAGGAGAGGAGAGGGACGAGAGAGATATAGTATCTCCAACACTTAGCTGCTTCTTTCTCTCACTTTACATTGCTAAGATACATACAAGAAGATGATTCTGATCAGATCAATTCGTGCGGGTCGACGTTCAATTGGGTCGTCGTCATTGTATTCCACCTCTTCGTCGGCATCATTCTCATCAGCTGCGTCCATTGAAGCAGAGAGGACTATCAGAGAAGGACCCAGAAACGAATGGTCCAGGGACGAGATCAAGTCCATCTATGACTCTCCTCTTCTCGATCTCCTGTTCCATGGAGTCAGTTTCTCTCTCTCTCTCTCTCTCTATATATATATATATATATATATATATATATATATCTGTTTTGTTGTGTGGGCAGTGGGTTACATTGAAAGTTTCTGTTTGGATTCTGGGAAAAAGTGGCTAAAAGAAAAGTGAACTTGGCTTGAAAAGGAAATAGTAATTGAAGATATTGCGGGTTCAATTATTTTCCCTTGGATTCTCGGAAACCATCTGGAAAATGTATTTCCATTTTCAGAATGCGTAACTGTGCCTGCATTAATGTGTGTGCGCACGCGCGCGTGTTTTATGGTCTGATTATTGCTTTTGAGCGGCCAATTAACAACCACCGCAAGTAATACTTTTAATTTCTGTTAAAATACTATTTTTTTCTCACTCTGTACTTAATTATATTTAAAATGAACAATATGAGATAGAATGCCTATTAAGTTTTCCTAATTGAAGACAAAGTTTTTTTTTTTTTAATCATGTAGATAGCTTAAATTGATAAATGTTTTACTTTAAAAGCTCATTTTCATAAATCTGAGAGGTTTTCTTTCTCAAAAACTGGTGACCAGAGTTGGGTAATTGGATGATTGAGTGGCGAAATGGAAGAATCCAACAAAATGAGAAAATGAGAATTTACTTTGCAAATTCACCTGTGTTTAATATCTATTTTTTTTTTCTATGAATCCAGTTTCAAGCTTGGTTAAAGAATGAGGGTTGCATTAAATAGTTGACAATCGAAGTAAAACTTGCCGGGCATTTTGCTTGAGCAATTTGCTGTGTCCGGACCACAATGTTTTGAAAATGGGCAAGGAGTGTTGTATTTTAGTTATCTGAATGTGTTGGAGGTAACTGAGAGCATGATTAGAAGAAAAGTTAACATAACGTGTTTATGAGAAACTAAATGAATACAATAGAAAACAATGTGTTGGAGATATAGCAGCTTAGTTTATTAGGGTTTATTAAGTTTTTCCTTTTTTACCTTTTTATCTTTATTGTAACTTTCATTGGCTATATATACGGGACTCTACACTTAATTTGTATCCCTTTTTCTCTCTTCTACATATTTCAAGTTAGTATTAGAGCTAAACCCTAACCTTAACCTAACCCTAGCCTCCACCATGACTGCCTCACTGGCAAACTACCTTCAAGCAAAACAGTCACTGCCCACTGACAAAACCACCAACCCAAAGCACTGCCCACCAACCCAGTCACTACCAAAACCACCCTGCCATCAGCCGCCCAACCAAACCGACCTGCGACAGCCTGCTGCATCCCATCGACTGCCCCATACCAAAACCAATCATTGCCCAGGCCACACCGACAGCCTGCTGCACCGAAACATCATTATCTCCAGCTAGGTCACTGTCCAACCCAAACCCAATATACTACATACCAGTCCACAGCCCAAACCAGCCCACTACTGGGTCACTTACCACAGACCAGCCCATTCATCAGCCCACTATTGGGTCGAGATTTTTGTGGCTTCGTCCTTCGCATTCTTCGTCACAGTGTTGCCAGGCTGTAGTATCTAGGACTTTGTAAAGAGGGGTTGAATTCTCTTCTTCGTTGATATGCTCTTGATGTAGTAGATCATTTATTTATATTTATTAGATTTTTGGGCATCGTGACCTGATTATTTGGGAGTTTTCTGGACTTTCTTTATTTGTCGCTACTGTTCGACTAGAGATTTATTGTTCTCTCTTATTTTATTCCTCTATTTATTTTAGAGTTGTTTTTCTGTCACGAGTGCTCTAGTATTATTGATGATATGACTACTACTGAGGGAGTTGAGATCCCAACCGTTGAGACATTTGTTAGTATTTCCACCGGGTATAGGGGTCGACAGCGCTCGGCCCAACGCCGTCAGGGTACCCTACATCAGCGTAGATATGGGGATTTCCGTCAGTGTGATTATTGTAGCTGACTAGGACATTTCAGGGCTACTTGTTGGAAGCTCTATTCGGAGCTTAAGCCGCCTTCTCGCAGCCATACTACTGCCATTGCTAAGGCATCACCACCTACAGTCATTGCTCCTGCTACTACTGCTAGTGCTACTGCTCCTCCTTGGCAGAGTGATATGGATACTATCACTTTTCGTTTGGATATACTTATGTCAGCCTTGATTTCTCAAGGTTCGACTACTACTACTGCCATTACTACAGGTATACCTCATGTCTTTCATACTTGCGCCAATCCTTCTTCTCTTTGGATGCTGGACTTGGGTGCTAATGGTCATATGGCAGGTGAGGTCCATCATTTCATCTCTTTTGACGAGCAGTTACATACTCAAGTTCAGTTAGCAGATGGTACATATGCCCCTATTGTTAGTAGGGATACAGTCCGCCTCCCAGATGACTTTACATTACGTTCTGTGTTTCATGTGCCAAAACTGGCCATGAATCTATTATCTGTACATCAGTTAGCCAGAGATTTTTACTGTGCGATTGTGTTCTTATCTGATTCGTATTATTTGTAGGACCTGAGTACCAGGAGAATTATTATTAGGGGACATGAGAGAGATGAATTGTATTATTTAGGCGATCCATCTTCGGTTTTACCAGTTTCTCCACCTCCACCTCCATCACCTGCTTTGTCTTTATCTGTTCCTAGCCTACATGCTAGTATTTTATCTAATACTTATCGTTATGATTTTTTATCACAAATTGTTCAGTTGTGGCATGACCGTTTTGGGCATATAAATTTTAAATATTTATGTATGTTATTTCCTGCTTTGAGCAAAGCTTGTGTTAGTGGTAAATTTGACTGTGTTATATGTTCCCTATCAAAACATGTTCAGACCAGTTATATTCCTCGCATACACCAGTCACCCGAACCATTTGACCTAATACACTCGGATATTTGGGGACCCTCTCCTGTTACTGCTCTGTCAGGTGTCCGATATTATGTGACATTTATAGATGACCTTACCTGTTGTACTCGGGTCTACATTTTGCATATGAAGTCTGATGTACTCCCTGTCATTACTCAATTTCTTCAGATAATTAAGACACAGTTCGATGTCATTGTTCGTGCATTTCGTTCGGATAATGCCAAAGAATATGTGTCTGATGCCTTAGTGTCTTACCTTTCTTCTCAGGGTATCCTTCAGTAGCTCACTTGTCCTTATACTTCTGAGCAAAATGGAGTTACTGAAAGGAAAAATAGGAGTTTGATAGGGATAGTACGTTGTATGCTTAGAGGTATGAGGGTACCAAAATCTTATTGACATTTTGCTGTTTTGACTTCTACCTTTTTGTGCAATCGTACACCGAGTCGTGTTTTTCAGCATAGGGCTCCCTTACAAGTCTTATTCCCTGAACGGACATTTTTTCTGGTCCCCCTCATGTTTTTGGCTGCACATGTTTTGTTTAGGATCGGTCTCCTACTCGTCATAAGTTTGATGATAAAATGATTCGTTGTATCTTTGTGGGCTATTGTCATCAGTCTAAGGGGTATCGGTGTTATGATCCTGTCAAGCGACGTATGTATCACAGTCTAGATGTTATCTTACTTGAGCATATTCCTTATTTTTCTTTCAGTCCTGTGTCTGCCCCTCCAGTTGATGATACTCTCTTTGATTTTTTATTACCACCGGAGTCATAGCTATTGGTTACTATCACTACAGAGTCATCTGTCTCTCCTCCTCCAAAGCCACTCATCCTTGTCAGTACAGAGTCACCAGTCTCTCTTCTTTTGCAGGTTTATGTTTGTCGTCCTCGCTCTCATCCCCTTGCTGATGTCCTCTCTACCTCAGGCGATGCAGGTAATACTTCTCAGTTAATTGAGCATATTGATGCACCTATTGTTAGTACTGATGAGATTGTAGGTACTGAGCCAGTTGTTTTACCTAATGAGACATTATCAGTGGAGGATGATGATTTAGGGCGTCGTTATCCGCGGCGTGATCGTCGTCCAGTTGTTCGTTATGATTGGACCGATCTCTGCTTATATTTTTTATGGTGATCTGTCTCCTACATTTCGAGCTTATACTATAGTCTTATCAGATATGCCGGTTCCTCACTCTATTTCAGAGGCTATGCGAAAGCCCCAGTGGGTTCTTGTCATGCAGACAGAGATGGACACTCTTCAGCGTAATCATACGCGGGATCTTGTCTCTTTACCTTCAGGGGTGAAGCCTATTGGTTGTCACTGGGTTTATACCCTGAAATTTCTTGCAGATGGTACTATTGATCGTTATAAGGCTAGGCTTGTGGCGAAAGACTTTACTTAGGTACCAGGCCGTGATTTTGGTGCTATCTTTGCTCTCGTGGCAAAATTGACTACTGTTTGACTGATTATTTCTCTGGCTGCGGAATACTCTTGGCCTCTTCATCAGTTGGATGTGAAGAATGCATTTCTTCACCGTGATCTGGACGAGATTATTTATATGGATGCACCACCGGGCTTTCGTGGTGAGGGGGAGTATGGTGGAAAGGTTTGTCAACTACGTAAGTCTCTTTATGGACTGAAACAGTCAATACGAACCTGGTTCTCTCGCTTTAGTGATGTAGTTGTACGTTTAGGGTTCACCCGATGTCATTCTGATCATACCTGTTTCATTCGACGGAATACTTCCGGACAGTTTGTCATCCTTTTGGTATATGTTGATGATATTATTATTATTGGAGATGATATTTCTGGGATTGCGCAGGTTAAGGTAGACCTTGGGAAGGCCTTCAATGTAAAGGATCTTGGATTTTTGCGATACTTTCTTGGGATTGAGATTGTCCGTAGCAGCAAAGATATTGTTCTTTCTCAGAGAAAGTATGTTCTAGATCTTCTCTTAGACACTGGAATGCTGAGGTGCAAATCGGCATCATCACCCAATTGGCAATGGGTGGAGTGGCACCTCAAACCTATAAACCATCCTTGGTATACTTAATTTTTAGATGTGGGATTGCTCTCTTCACGGCAATGACTGACAGCCTTGATCCGAGCTGTATATAAAGCACCGAACAAGTCAAATGCATGAAAAGATGAATGTGTGATGGCTGCAGTTTTCCTCCAGAGTTTAGTGCATACATTGTGGAAATAATTTGAAATGCTGAAGCCGCCTCCAATTTTATTCATTGTTCAAAATTTGCTAGTATAATTAATTTTTCAATTCTTGTTTATGTTCTTATTGTCCGTCTTGGATCTTTATATCATATTCTTGAACAGGAATGCTATCATCAATACTATGATTGCTGCATTGAGATAGGTAATCTGAATTGATATTCATGGTTTTGTAGGCTCAAGTGCATAGACATGCTCACAACTTCAGGGAAGTGCAGCAGTGTACTCTTTTATCTATCAAGACGGGTGGATGCAGTGAGGATTGTTCATATTGTCCTCAGTCCTCCAGATATGACACTGGATTGAAAGCGCAAAGGCTTATGAACAAGGATGCTGTTATGGAGGCGGCAAAGCAGGTGCTATTTTTCATCATTTTTAAATTCTCATGGGTTTCTAATAGACCCAAATGATTTAGTATGACTATATCATTTGCATTCATGGAATGCATTTCTGATTGCAGCACTAGGATACAATGGCAGACCTGTGCTTGGGCCAAGGGGGGCCATGGCCCCCTCAAGTTTTTGAAATTATCTTTTATACCTCTAAAATCTCAAAGATATACTTTAACCTTAAAATTCTGTTTTTAATTTTACTTTAGCGATCCCTCAAGCTGTCAAACTTATGATTTAAGTCCTTAAATTGTGACCTTGATTTCGTTTATCCTATGGATTCAAAGACATTTCACTAACAATCATTCAAATACCTCTTTGACGATTTTCGTCCAAAATATAAGATTTTATGCTAAATCAAAATTAGTTAGATTGTAAAAGTAATTTGGTTTAGGGAAGAGAAGAGTTGAGAAAGGAGAGTAGTGTGTTAGGTTACACAACTTTTATATGTAATCACAAAGTACAAAATTACCTTTAGTCTAAAAATAACACATAACATAACAAAATTCAACAACTTGAGCAAAACGTCACCGATTTGAATGGCTAATGATGCAACCTGTGTTCAAAGCAATAATCGATGGATAAAGTGAAATCAATGTCATAATTCGGAGGACAAAACATATTTACCCAAACCTTACATTTAGAGTGTCCAAAACAGTATGGAATATATATTTAGCAAATTTACTCACTCTCTATCTTATTTTGTTTAGATTTTCACTCTTCTAGAGGCAGAACAAAATTTTGTACTCTAGCAACTATGAAATGAAATTGAGCCCAAATTGTTGATTTTGTACGAATTGATTGGAACTAGTTTTTAATCTAATTAATTTGACAAGTTTGTATTAATTTCTCAATTTTGTTAAAAACAGATAACAATCGTGTATTGTATGAAAATTTATTCTCATAGGCTGTGCTAACATTGATGATAAGCCATCGATACAAACTTATGGTTACACTATTAGCCCCCTCGAGTTAAAATCACGGCTCTGTCCCTACTGCAATGAGGAGAGTTTGGGTTTTCTCAATCTTGCTGCATGAAATGGAAACTTCTTCCCAAATCTGGATTAACTTGTAACGGTAACGGCTGGGTTGCTGTTTACTGAAACATGTGAGAAAGATGTTAAAACATCAAGAACTGTCACCCTGTCCGTTCCAAAACATTGGCTCCCTTTTTTGGAATTTGGATTTATAAGGAATGGGATTAAATTGTGGAGAAAAACCTTAAATTTCCAACATCACCCTCTCTTTACACTTGAAAATTCACTTTGTTTGAACTTACCATGAATCTGTAATGGCGGAATATTTGGGGAATGTTGCATGAAAAAGTACCATAACTTTTGAAACTAGACTCTATATCTGGGACGCACCAAACAAGAAACATGCCCTATGATATTGGGATGATGGAAATATTTTTTTTTCTCTGTGGTATTATGCAAAATATGCATGAGTTTCTCTCTTGCTTTTCTCTGAAATTCTGATCTAGTATGATTTTGTGTTCTTTGTTAATATAGTTGTTTGGCTTATGGTCGAATATGGCAAGAAATTGAACTTTTGTTGAAGTGATGTTGGACAACTTTGTAAAATAAAAAATAACGACTATTTAGGGGCTGTTCAGGGACTGTGAACAGTACTCATGAACAGTAATGTGGCTGTGAATTGTAGCGTGAACAGTAATTTTGGTTAGGAATCACTCCTAGGGTTCGGTAGCCATCACACCCAGGATTATAATTGCATCACACAACTCAAGAAAAATATAATTGCTCAAAATTTTGAATATCTTCCTTTTCTTCTATTATTAAAAGTAACACTAACTATATACAGAGTTTTAAGTAATTCTAATTCCAAAAAATTAGGATTCCAAAGTCTTTAGAACTTCAAAGACACTAGGTCGCTACAAATTAGAAAACTAAAATTAACTAGAACTAGTATTTTAAATTCTAGAATATTCAATATTAGAATTTGACCCAAAAATATGACATATTCCAAAAATTTTGGAAATTATAAAAATACCCCTGACACTAAAAATATTAAAAGGACATATAAAATATTAATACTAGTAAATTGACTTAAAATAAGAATGCAAGGTTCCATATGGATCTTTGTCTTGATGAAAAGTCAATTACATTATCTTTCACATCTTCGAATTTGTGTTTTTTTGAGCATCTTATGAATTGCATCATTCTCTCCTGGTTTAAGAAAACTCGACCTCGAGTTTTAAAGTGTTGTAGTATGAAAGTCCAAAAACTTTGAACTTGTATATGTAGTTGTCTCTGAGAAGCGTTAAAATTATGTCTCATTTTCTTCTCTAATTGAGGGAACAAAGAAAAAATTTGAACATCTCCCTCTTCTTCTATTATTAAAAGTAACACTAACTATATATAGAGTTCTAAGTAATCCTAATCCCAAAAGATTAGGATTTCAAAGTCTTTAGAACTTCAAAGACACTATATTCCTACAAATTAGAAAACTAAAATTAACTAGAACTATAAGCTTCAACACATGCTTTGGGTAGGACCAAACAACCAATTTGACCAGCATCACTAGCGCTTAAAACCTTCTCAAACAATGACACAATAGTGGAATTTAAATCTCTGGATAACTTCTGCAACTCTTCGTTAGTAATCCTTGGCCAGTATTGTGGGAGTAATTGATGGCGGCCCCGTCCTTCGGCAGGAAGCCTTGCAATGAGTGGCTGAGAAATTATCCCTTTATTTGCCTCTGAACCAATTTTAAGGCCAGCCTTGAGGGCTTCGGCAAAATGTCTCGTCTTCTGCCCTTGTTGCAAGAGAGGAACTTTGTTATGTTCTTTCTGTTTGGCAACCTCACCAGGAAAAGACGATATAGGATTTGGAGAGCATAAAGAAGTGCTTACAGAGAACCTCAAGGATGGTTGAGCTACTGACTCATACATATCTTCAAGGCCTAGCGTTGGCCCATTGCTACCTAAATTGGAAAATCTAGATTGTCCAACTGATTGCTGGATGAGACTCGAAAACCCTATGCCACTTTCCCCACTAGGATGTGTCTTGTCTTCTGGTTAGACCAGCCCATTAGATATATTCGTGTCACCCTTCTAACATTGAGGGAAGGGGCTATGCTGATTTTCCTCTATGGCATTGCTTAACTGCATGAGCTTCCCTATTTTAAAGCCATTGCAATCTATTGTTGCATCAACATTGCAGGATTGCAGAATTGGCTAGTACCCTCAATCTACCATATCCATGAAGAATATCATCGCTTGGGATCTTAGCCTCTGGACAAGTAAGTAGTGTAGTTGCTTGGGATTGTGTTGATTCTTCTACTTAATTTCCTTCATCTTGAATTATTCGATCAGTTGTTGCTTTGGGCTGCCTTTGATGAATCTTCTCTAGTTTCACAATAAAATCTAAATAACTTTAAGTTTTACCCCTTTGCGAAGAAGAAACCCTTGATATACCTACTTGGTGAAGGAAATTTAGGTATATCTCTGTACCAAGTGCCACTTGGAATGCATGCTCTACGTTGTATAGTGGCTGCCCAAGTATTTCTGTCTTTATATTTGCTCTTAAACCAGCCTTGAATTGAACAATTATTTGGCAAGGTTTTTCTACGATATAGTTTTTCAACATTAGTTCTTCAAATCTTTGAATATACTCTGTAACAGATAGGTTACCTTGTTGCAGATTAATAAGTTGTTTGCATAACTTGCTACTATAGTTTGAGGGCATATACTTCTGTTGAAGCTTAGCTTTCATCTTTTGCCATGTGTTTATAGGAGATTGTTCCAATCTTTTTATATCTCCTTTAACACCAAACTACTAAATTTTTGCCAAGCCTACAAGTTTCATCTTGGCAAGCCTTACTCTTCTCTCATCTGAGAAATTATACCTAATAAAATAGTTCTCTATAGAAACAAGCTAACTAGAGAATATTGTAGAATCATCCCTTCCATCAAAATTTTGGATCTCCATCATCATATATCAATATTTAAATCGTATAACATAAGAGTTTTCAGCTTTGAAACCAAACTGATGTAGGACAACTTTGTAAAATAAAAAATAGGAACTATTTAGGGTTGTTCAAGGACTGTGAATAGTATTCATGAACAGTAATGGGGTTGTGAATAGTAGCATGAACAGTTTTTTTGGTTAGGAATCACTCCTAGGGTTCTGTAGACATTACACCCAGGATTAGAATTGCATCACACAACTCAAGAAATATGTAATTGCTCAAAATTCTGAATATCTCCCTCTTCTTCTATTATTAAAAGTAAAACTAACTATATATAGAGTTCTAAGTAATCCTAATCCCAAAAGATTAGGATTCCAAAGTCTCTAGAACTTCAAAGACACTAGGTTCCTACAAATTAGAAAATTAAAATTAACTAGAACTAGGATGTTAAATTTTAGAATATTCAATACTAGAATTTGACCCAAAAATATGACTTATTCTAAAAATTTTAGAAATTACAAAAATACCTTTGACACTAAAAATATTAAAAGGACATATAAAATATTAATACTAGCAAATTGACTTAAAATAAGAATGCAAGGTTCCATATGAATTTTTGTCTTGATGGAAAGTCAATTATATTATCTTTCACATCTTTAAATTTGTATTTTCTTGAGCATCTTATGGATTGCATCATGAAGTCTTCTATTTCATGTCAAAAATTGGTCAACCCTTAGGAACATAGAGTTCCAATTGGCTCACTGGAACACTTATTTTGGCTGCTGATAGCACTGCTTACGAAACTCATTGTACAATGCTTAACCTTCAATATTTAGGGATGCCAGCATGGAAGCAGGGAAATTCAAACCAATTCCCTAAAGCTGGCAAAACCAACTGTTCTTCTTCTTTCTTGGTTTAAGCTTTCCATTCTGGCCTGGAAATGAATGGGCGTTACCCAATCAATTTGGTCAATGGGTATTCTTGATACTATGTGAGTAAGAAGCTTGGACAATCTTGAGAAGGCGACAGATCCATGCTAGACACCAACACTTCTCAGACCCCTCTTAGGCATAAGTCTGATGCTCTTATCAAAATAAAATTTTAATTTTGGACAAGTGTTCAAGACTCCTTTAGTAACTTGTACGACAGTCCTTTATGTCTGGTCTGCTACTAAGATATAAACAGGTTTTTTGTAATTAACAAAGCCTAAAAAATTAGACAGATGATTATCTCATCCTATGAAATATTATACAATTATGAAGACTAGCCCTGTTAAAGTTGTACATAAAATTTACTAATAAAAGCAAAGATGTATAGAAGTTTTGTTGAAAAAGAGAAATTGAGAAGATAAGAGCAATTATTATGATTATGTATGTTTATACACATTGTGTACAAAAACATCAATGATTATTGAATACTATGATCATTAGGTCTAAAAATTTACACTAATTGACTAGACATAAGATTTATGTGCCAAAAAGCTCTGAATTTGTTATGAAAGTACCATAATTATGGGACCATATTCATTTTCTAGTGTCATTTTGGACTAAGGTTTCTGACTAATTTAAAGGAATCTTATTTTTTGCTATTTTAGTAGGATGGAGAGTTGCATGTGATTTCTGGGCCTTCTAAATGATCTAGCTCTTTTTTTGCTTTATTATTTCTACTTTTTGGTTGGATTTTATCCAACTATTTTTGATGTACTTTTTAATTTTTATTAATATAGAGTTCCATTTCCTATCAAAAAAAAAAAAAAGTACTACAATTATTCTTATATTTGTGAAAATTTATCCCATTTGATACATAAAACATAATTACTTGTAATGTGTCCTTGGCATGTCTGTGTCCTACTCTTTTGAAAAATGTCATGTGTCTATGTTGTGTCGTATCCGTATTTGTGTTTTGTAGCTTTGTATTGCTGGCGGTGAACAAAACATTTTTGCGAGCTTGTAATCCACAAGAACTGGAGCTTGTGCTATTCAAATGCCTTTGTTGGCATTGGCATTCTCTGCCTCATCAATCTGGGTAAATGTAACAAATTCGTGTATGTCGATATCAAGATATTTATTGCTCAGTAAGGGGATCACTGCTTCTGTATAATAGTTGTGAATAGCTTCTGCATGTTGTAATTAGTAATGAACTCTTTTGTTTCGTTTCCTCCATATTTAATGGCCTCCTTACTAACATTTTTTAATTAATATTCTTTTTTAAGTTGGATGAACTTCCATGCATATCCGTGAAAGTGAATTTTCTATTTGTCAACGTTGTGTTATAGATGCAAAAAAATGTTATTGCATCCAGAAAGAAATAAAGTTTTAGTAGCATGTAGGCAAATGACAAAATAGCACTGCAAAATGTACATGATAGTATGATTCTTACTAGGAATACCTACATATTTGCAAATAATTATGCTTTTACTGACTACTTGTGCACTTGTTGACTGGGACTGGTTTCTGATCTAATGTGGTCATGGTTAATTAGAAGTTCAAATCCAAAGTGGCAGAACTAGTCTTATCCTGAACTGATCCATTTGTAGGCAAAAGAGGCTGGTAGTACTCGTTTTTGCATGGGTGCTGCATGGAGAGACACGGTTGGAAGGAAGACCAACTTCAACCAGATCCTTGAATATGTGAAAGAAATAAGGTAATGAACCATAGTGCATCCAATTGATGTATATTTGCGTCAAAGGACACCTGTCAAGGTAGAAAATGAATGTCCTCCAATGTCAAGAGCTTGTATCACTGTCTATTTCCTTATAAACTGTCTGACTGTCACAATTCCAAATGTGGTGGAATAGCACAGTGAATGGATTGAAACACTTCCTGTTAATAAGAGACGATTTAATTATTTCTGTAAAATCCATTCTTCGATTCATATAATTCTATAAATTTTACTAGATTGCTGGTTGTTCAAGAGTGTTGCCACCTTCAATGAGGAGTTGAGAGTAATTCAATCAGGCTCTCGTAAAGTATGTTAATATTTGATATCATGAGTGAGAAATTGTACAATTTTTTGATGTTCTTTTTGCTAGGTATTTTGAGAGTTCCCAAATTCTTATTTTCTTCTTTTGTCGTCAAAAGAAAAAAGAAGGAAAGAAAAGCATCTGGTAATGGCATTATTGCAATTGAAATTAGTTTTGGAAAAAATTGGTTAAAAAGACCTTTAGTATTGATGTGATTGTGCAGTTTAGAATCAGAAAAGGTGTGTGTTAAAGACAGCAAGAAGGAAAACCCAATGAATGTTATCTGTCTAGGTCCACAGAAAGACATCATTATACTAAGTTTTGGATGAACTGCAAAAGCATTGAAAGGTGTAGTTCAATGGCGTCATGGATGTGTATTATTAATCCCTAGTTTGATGAGTTACTTGAAACCCTTTCTGCATCAGACTCCAGTACCACTAACTCTCTGCATATTCACATTCAAAATCTTCCATTCCAAATGCAACCTAGAAAATGGAAATAAGAGGCTATCTCTGATGTTTATCAATCAGTTGTCTTTTCCTTATTTTTGCTACTATATCAAAGTTTAATGTGGCCTGCCCGACATTGGTTTTTTCTATTTTGCTTTTCTATTTAAAAGCTTACTCTGTATTATATTATTTGTCATTCAGAGGAATGGGGATGGAGGTCTGCTGCACCTTGGGAATGCTAGAGAAGCAGCACGCTTTACAACTCAAGGAGGCTGGCCTTACAGCTTATAACCATAACCTTGATACCTCAAGAGAGTATTACCCTAATATTATAACTACAAGAACTTATGATGAACGCCTGGAAACCCTTCATCATGTTCGTGAAGCAGGGATTAACGTCTGTTCAGGTCAGTTATATACAATCTAAATATATATCAACATCACCCATTTGTGATTGGTCAATTTCATTTGTCAATTTTTTGTTCTTCTTTTCCATTCTTTTTCTATTTTTTTTTTTAAATTTTAAGTCTTTTGTTAAACTTGTCAATGTAGGTTTTTTTTTTTTTACTTTTGCACTCGTGTGCGTGGAGTGCTGGCATTTTGCTCTATGTTTTCTAATCAATTATTAAGGATAATAATTAATAGAAAAGGAAAGGAGAGAAAGAGATGATTAGTATGGTTTGCTTCCTCAACATAGTGGATGTCTAAAGTTAAGTACAGTTTCTTGTGCCAGTGACTCTACCATTTAGAAATAATTGGTATGGTGGGCTTACTATTTTCCATGTTACCTGTATCAGTTGCTACTTTCCTAGACACAAAAAATTGTCACGCTAGAAGAGTCCTGATGGCATTCAGTAGGTTACTAGTTTCCTGACTACCAATGAAGTTGGCCCAGAGATGTCCAAGGTCATGGATCGAATCCCCTTTAAAATTTCTAATCTAAGTCTTCATTCAACTCAACGCAGCCTTATCCCAAACTATTTTGGTTCTACTACATGTATCGTGTTCCTGTATTGTGCTCTATCAAGTGCACTTTTGTACTATTTCCATTTAATCCATAAGTTGTTGTATGCAACCATTGATAGATATCACATTGCTCTGTCACTGTCGTAGTGGTAGATCTTCTGTAAACATGTCACCTAAGTCGATTATCTCTTTAGCTATCTCCTATTGGTGCTACTTTCACCATTTCACATATATTGTTATTTATAATTCTATCCCCTTTGTTTTTACCATATACCCGTCTTAACATTCTTATTTCTATTATACTCAACATAAAGTACAATAATGCATTGCGGATCTAAGGGCTTTCTTGTATTACTTGCTATCAGCTTAGCAGATATACGTCGATCACACGATACCTCCACTTAGTATATCTTCCCATATTCTATTACTAAATCGTCTCCAATTTCTCGTTCTTTGTGGATGATGGACCTCAAATATCGAAAATGTTTGTCCCTTGATATGTTCTACTTGTTTCATGTATCCTTTTACTAAAATTTTATTTTATACATTTAGTTTTATGTCTACTTATCTTGTATCTTTTTGATTTTGAAGCTTTTCTCCGAACTTCTAATTACTGTTAATTTTCACTTTGCTTTCAAAATTAATACTGTCACACCCCAACTCCAAGGGCATGACCGGCCGTGAACCATAGATTCATAACCTATAGAACACGTAAGCCTAACAATAAACTAATAATATAGGAGTGGAAAACCACATTAACACTAAATTAATCTCATGTCAATATGTCAAAGTCAGCATATCTAAACCTGTTTGTCTCAATTATACAAACAAGTAAAGACGGCTATACAATATATGCTACGGTGGTCACAACACTATTAGTCCCCAACCAATTCCTTGAATCTGCTATTGACACTTCAATTGTTTACTTGTAAAAAATATTATTTTGAAAGCATGAACTAAAAAGCCCAATGAAAAGAAAGACATGCATATTCAATTGTGTATCATATCACAATGGTGAATCATATCATAATGGTGAATCATATCATAATGGTGGAGACTGTACGATATCCAATAATTGATGGGAACCAAATACCAAATACAAGAAAATACGTATGACATACGATAGATAATCATAAACAAAGCCAGTAAAACATTGTGACAATAACAAATTATATCATCATCTCATACTGGTAAGGACTTGTACGATATCTGGGAACCATACCAAATGCCAGAAGATCTCAAGGTTGGATTCAACACCGTACTTAGAGTCACCGCAGGTTGTCACCCGGGAACTATTCCTTAAGATAATCTAGTGAAGGTCATTAGAATGCACCAGGAACTGTTCCTTCAACCGTTGAGCACTAGGGTCACGTCAGCTTCCCTCGGGTCTATTCTCTAGTGGCCAGGGTTACCCGCATACGGAGGAATAATTTCCTTGGACTTTTAACTAAATGCCAGAATATATCTCTGGGTTGGATTCAACATCGTATTTAGGGTCACCACAGTCTACCCTGGGTTTGTTCCTTTAGACAATCTGGTGAAGGTCACCAAGACGCACCAGGTACTGTTCAGCCGTTGAGTACTAGGGTCACCTCAGCCTCCCCTGGGCCTGTTCCTTAGTGGCCAGAGTCATCCGCACAAAGAGGAATAATTTCCCTGGACTTTTAATTTTGGTCCCATTCACCATCACTAAGTTTCACCATATAAATAAGTGATTGAGTCACAATACTTCACAAAAAAGTTCATCAAAGTAATCAAAGTCGTATGCCGCAAATATTTAGACAATTAGTAAAACATTATTGTAAAGATAGTAAAGAACAAACATTATGTATCATTTTTAAAATGTTTAGGGATACAGGAAAAATACGTAGTATGCCAAACCACTCACCTCAAGTCCAAATGATATGTTTCTTGAGTGTTGCTTGTTACCCGAAGTAGAGTGAGATGTTATCGATGCCTTTCCATTTTTTCTCACAATTTCCTTTCTCCTTTGATGAGGTGCTCTTCCTTCCTTCTTCTCTCTTTTACTCTCTATTCTTTTTTAAAAGTGGAAGACTACTTGTGCACTTGTATCTTAATCGAATTCCCAAATGTCCTAGCATTCTAGGATTATTCTAAAGAATATTGACATGTGACATTTTCCCCATTTCCTCGATCCTTCTAGGTTTCAAACTTATTTTGCACATGACAATTTTACAAGTATCTAAATTCATCTATGATATTCGAAAGTCTTCTCCAACCTTCTACGTCCTTTCGGAACTTTCCGGATCATTCTAAATACTTCTTTCTAGTATTTCCTGAAACCTTCTAAAATACTCTAGACTTCTCTAGATTGTTCTAGAACTTTCCAGATTCTTCTAGAACTTTCTAGAAACTTTTCCAACATTCTAGATTTTTCTTAAAATTTTTTTTTTATTCCTTCCAAGATAATATTCCCCACCTAGTTCTTTGCCAAAATGGAATGAGGTATTACAAATACTATATTATTACAACTGATATATTCCCAGTAGTTTCATCTTGAATATGTCTAGTTATTTCAACTATAACCATACAAAAAGGTATAAACTTAAAATTAGATGCTTGTTAAGGTCAAATTACTATGGCTGTGAAATGGATTTATGACATTATGTTTGAGTGAAATTCAAGATGACACATCGTGTTGAGTGCTATATTAATTGAATATTGATTAGTTCTAGGTTAGGTCAGTCACTTACCAAAAGATTGATTGTAGTAAATGTTATGCCTCATAAATCAAGTCCTTGCCAAAGCAGTGAAGCATAAAAAGTCATATGCAGTGTCTTTCTGATCATATGTTAAACTTATGAGCAGGTCAGAGGAATTTTTGTTTCTATTAGCAACTTCCTTTGGTACAACATTGTTTGAACTTAGCAATTCAGAATGTCTTTTTAATAATTTGGAAGGCTTTTTCTTAAATAGTTCTCCTTCTCCCAACTTCCTTTCTCTCTCCTCCGGGAGGGCTCCGGACGCCCTTTCTCTTCTTGATCAACCTTAGTGCATTGATTTGACCTAGATGAAGTGATACTTTGATATAATCAGATAACTGCCATTTGTCTCTTGGTTATAACATTCTGCTATTTCTTAGTTAAGAGATGAATGTCCGATAATGCTCAAACTCACTAAATGGATGTGTAACCCGTTACTTCTTGTTTATAGGAGGAATAATTGGGCTTGGAGAGGCAGAGGAGGACAGAGTTGGTTTATTGCACACGTTGGCAACGCTCCCCTCGCACCCCGAGAGTGTCCCAATAAATTCACTGATTGCAGTAAAAGGCACCCCTCTGGAAGATCAGAAGGTAATTTAAATTTTTTTAATCATTTGAAAATTATGTGGCAAATAATTCTGCAACGAATAGCTTTTCAAGTGTAAGCATTTGCTGTCATAAGTTGTTTCCACTCTCTCCCCTCTCATGTCCTATTCTTGGTTGGCTTTTTAACCCCCCATTCTATATGAATAGACTAGAATTTTTAGTACTGAAAATGTGGTCGATTGTCCATATATTATACCCTCAGCCCCAAGGTATAGTCTAATTTGAATTGATCCATAGTTTTAGTAAACATATTTAAAAGCCTGCCCTGTAAGTCGATATTATTTACTTTGTATATTTACCTTTTTATTTTATTTACTTTGTATATTTACTCTTATAGGTGTTGGATGTGGGAAAAGCTTTCCAATTTTGAAAATTTGGAAGGAATCTCCCAACAGAGGTTATATTTGGAAATGTACTAGAAGTTAGGTAGATTTGTCTGAGTATGATTATTGGGACTACTGAAAAGGAAAGGTGGGACACCCTTTTTGGTACAGAGGGAGTGCTTTTATCACAAAATGTTGAAACAAATAAATTCAGCTGTTAGCTTCAGTGTAATCAGTTCCCCCCCCCCCAAAAAAAAAAAAAAAAAAAAAAACAAAACAAAAAACACACACACGCACATGTGAGGTTTGAATTTCATTCAGGATATGCCTGTTTTTGTGGTACTCATTGAGAAGAAAACAAAAAATTAGAAAGAAAAGAGAAAAGTGAAAAAAAAAAAAATTACTTGCTTCTTAAACTTTACACCAGGATCATTTCAAGTCTTACTTCTCCTTCCTGAACCAGAACAATTTAACTATATCAAAATGTATTGATTGTGTTCATGATAATATGCCTTAAGCGTGAGTTACATTATTTTAGGTTATTATGTTTATGTTCTTATCATTTTAATATGTTTAGTATACTTCTCTCCTTTTCTTGATTTGATTAAGAAGTTTAGTTCCAGCATCTTACTGAAAAGCATGCATTATGGCACTCTATTTAGCTGTTGAGCACTAACTCATAAATCTCGAACAGCTCTTCTATACTTCCACCCTGGATTTACCATGGCTATCAATCACAGATTTTTCCAATTAGGGGCTTTCAGGTTCGACCTCGTGTCATTGTACCTGTATCCCACTAAGTTTCAAATAGAACCCCCAGTCCTATGGCAATAAATTTCCAACGATAAACATATGTGACCTTCAAAAATCTGCTACTCAACCACCTAAAAGAGTTCTGATAATTCTGGCACTGCAATCTAAGGAAACAACAGCTGTTCCCAATTATGGATGTTTCCAATTATTCCATAATTAGGAACAGCCGTTGTCATCTTCTCTGGTACAGAATATTAAGCTACTAAGAAATAACACACATTCAAAAGCAAGTACAGCTGAGATGTATGCATGGTAAAATAAGGAATATTAAAATTAGGACTAATTGTATTTGTGACATTGTTGGAGTAGCACCAATATGAGTTACTTAAGATAGAATCATTTGAGATGGTTTGGACATATTCAAAAAATACTTATAACAATGCGAATTAGGAAGACTGATGTGATCCTATCAATCGTTATGCTAGAGGTCTAGGAAGCATGAGCACTCTATTTTGGTCAGATTGTCAGTGTCGGACACGGACACGCTAAAATGAGTGTCTGATTTTTGTATTGTTAATTTTTTTTAGGACATGTTTAACATTGGGGACATGCTTGAGGACATGTTTTGATATTTTTTTCAAAATTTTGAAAATTTGTCAAGTAATTTTATAATTAATGAAGTTTTTTTGTAATTTTAAAGAGATATTAGTCAAAGTCATAATATAAAAATGGTTATAATCAGTACATGGACATGAGTGAATATAACAGTTTCGGACACAAACAAAACTAATGTGATGAAAAATGAGGTTATGTGATGGCGTAGCCATAGGATGGTTGGACCAACATGATCGAATCCATAAGCCTTGGCAAATTACGAGTTTTTGGTCCAAAAAGAAATGAACTAGGTAGATTTGTTGGAATTTTTATTTGTTATTTTTATCTTATTTTTAGTTAGATAGTATTTATTAGATTGAGATTAGTAGGGATAAGTTGATAGAGTTTTAATAGTAGAGTAGTTCCTTTATGGTTGGACACTTGGTTTATAAACAAAGATGTATTTCACATTATTTTAATCAGAGTTGAGTATTTTTAGTTTGAGAATTCTCTGCGGAGATTTGTGTTTCTTGATCTATCCTTGTGAGGATTGGTTATTCCCTTTCTTTTCCTTCCCTCTGCATCATTGAAAACTTAGATTAAAAGAAGAGAATTCATATGCAGAAAAAGAAGAGAGAAGAGATCTAATCTTCCATAATAACAATAACAAGTTACAATAGATACTATATATAAAACTCTACTACAAGAGAAAGACTAAAATACTCTTAATGATAAATAAATGTAAATATAAATACAATTTTATCATCCTTTCTCAAACTAATGATGTGACAGTAGGTAGCATTAAGAGTTTGTTAAGAAGAAAATGAAAACGCAACGTAGTGTGAGACTTCGTGAAAATATCCGTCAATTGCATGGTAGAAGAAATAAAGGGCAATAAAAAATAATCCTAAGCAGAAGATGGTGGCACACAAAATGATAGTCAATCTCGATATGTTTAGTTTGCTCATGGAAAACAAAATTGTGTGCTATTTGAATAACACTCTTATTATCACAATGCATAGAAGTAGGAGCAGAAAAAGAAACTCCGAGATCAGTAAGTAACCATCTCACTAAACTATCTCTGATATAGTAGCGGTCATAGCACGATATTCAGCCTCAACAGTGGAACGAGTGACAACAATCTGTTTCTTGCTCCAAGAAATTGGGAAATCACCCAAAAAGACTCGGAAATCATTTGTAGATTTACGATTCATGACATCATCTACTCAGTCAGCATCAAAATAGGCACGAAGTTCCAAAGAAAAAGTGGAAAAGAATAACAAACTCTTATATAAAGTGCTCCGAAGATAACGCAAAATACGGAGAACTATATCCCAGTGACCTGTAATCGGAGAATAGATACACTAACTCACAATATGAACAACATAAGCAATATCAGGTCGGGTTATAGTAAAGATAGATCAAACTACCAATAAGAATTCGATACATAGTGGGATCAACAAAAGGATACCATCTTGTACATTGAGCTCGCGAGGAGTCTCAACAGTTCGAGAATCTATTAATCGAGCTATGTCGATAACATTAGCTACATACTTTAACTGAGAAAGAAGATAACCCTTAGACGACGAAGCTACTTCAATGCCCAAAAAATGGCGAAGTAGACCGAAATCTCTCATATCATCAATATATAAGAGAAGAACAATCTGACCAACAAAAGTAGACCGAAGAGAAAGAGTAAAATCATGATCATTGGAATGAAAATCCAAGTCATAGATCACAATAGAGAACTTTATAAACCACACCCAATGAGCCTGTTTGAGACCATACAAAGCTTTTTTAAGTTTGCATACGTCATTCGGAGTGTGATGGAGACCTGGGGGAAAGAGCCATAATAACCTCTTCAGCCAGATCACAATTCATAAAAGTATTTTTGACATCCAATTGAAATAGTTTCCATTGGCGAACTACAGCTACGACAATCAATGTACAAACGGTGGTTATCTTTGCAACAAGAGCTAATGTCTCATCATAATTAATACCATATTCTTTTGCAAAATCTTTGGCAACCAATCTGGCCTTATATCTTTCAATTGAACCATCAATGTTAGTTTTAATCTTATAAATCCATCGACAACAAACAACATTCTTACCAGTAGGTAAAGGCACAAGTTTTCATGTAGCGGTTCTATAGATTGCAGAAAGTTCTTCATTCATAGTCTATTGCCAAATAGGATCAAAAACAACTTCTTTGTAGGAGGTAGACTCAGACAAAGAGTGAATAGAAGATAAAAAAGAACAAAAATTAGAGGAATAATAAGTGTGAGAAAAATCAAGGCGATCAGGACACTTATGAATACACTTTGAATAACGAGAATAAGGAGGATTCATGTCATTAGAAGTCGATGAAGACTTGGCCGAAAGAGGTAAAGACATTGTACTTGCAGATGAGTTAGTCTTGTTCTTGCGAGAATAAATGTGAACAATAAGAGGAAGACTGAGATGAAGAATGAATGTTAGAGGTGAGCATGTCATGATGCAAGACTCACTAGAAATATCATCAGGGAAAGGATCAATGTAAATCAGGTTTGATTTATTAAATGTGCTAGAAACGGTAGGAATAAAAAAAAAAGGAATGTGCTCAAGAAAAATTAGGTCTAGATACATACAATCTTTTTTGTAATAGGGTCATAACAACGATACTCTTTATGGCCCTCACCATACCAAGAAAAAACATATAGTAGAATGAGCAGATAACTTATTTTGTTAAGCTTTAGGAAGAAGAACAAAACAAGTACAACCAAAGACGCGCAATGAGAAGTAGTCAGGAGGTTTACCATATAACCGTTCAAAAGGAGAAATACTCAAAGTAATAATAGAAGGAATCCAGTTAATAAGATGAACAACTAAATCATGACACGAAAATAAGCAAAGATGGAAAAATTCAGGTCGTTGCTTCATATGATAAATCTAACAATATCAGGTATAATTATCTATAAAAGAAACATAGTATCGATACTTACCTTTGGTGCTAATGGGAGCTAGACCCCACACATCAGAATGCATGAGGTCGTAAGGAGCAGAAGAAGTAGTGGAACTATTCTTAAAAGGTAGAACCGTGAATTTGACAAGTTTACAACCACTTCAATCAGAAACATCATGATTACTCAAACTTCCCAAAGCACTAGTAGAAACTAGAAACCTTAAACGAGAACTTGAAATATGCCAAAGACGAGAATGTCATAAATAAAACACTGAAGAATTAGCGCTTAAACGAAAGGAAGACAAATCAACAGAAGAAGTAGCCCTAGTTGGAACATGCAATTTCTCCAACACATAATTCTCCAACTCTATAGCCTGTCCCAATTAACTTCTTAGAATGAGAATCCTGCATAATACAACTAGGAGAGGAGAACTGAAAAGTGTAACCAAGATCACAAAGTTGACTATCATAAACAAGTTCAAAGATAGTTGAGGAATACAATAAACATTAGAAAGAGATAAAAGAAAAGTAGTAATAGATCTAATGCCTGGTAATGACATTGGAGTACCATTAGCAACCATAACACTAACAGGAAAAAAAAAATCAAGTTTAAAGATAGTTGAGGAATACAATAAACATCAGAAAGTGATAAAAGTAAAGTAGTAATAGATCTAACGCCTGGTAATGACATGTGAGTATCATTAGCAGCCATAACACTAACAGAAAAAGGAGGAGACGATGTGAAAATAAATAATGATG